GAAAAGAAACCACGACAGCCATCCTGGCAGGGTTTTCACCATCATTAACATTTCTCACTAGATGGGCTCCCATTATTCAAATAAGGGGAAGTCAAAGCATCAGGAAGAAAAGTAATTGTAATAATTAAAGTGCATCAAATAGTTTAAAAAGTCAAGAATTAATTAAAAATTCACTTGGTTGATGTGGAAGCAATTTGTTCTGAAACTGGTAAATAAGTGGAAGAAAACAAGCATTCATCCAGATTTTTCTATATGAACTCTTTTTCAGCATAATCCAATGATATTGATGGAAGGTTTTTCTTACAGAAGAATTCCAACTAGTAAGGGTAGAAAGAATTATATGACTAAAATAATTATTCTAATACTTAAACTTCCTATGTTTGAATAGTGAAATCCCTTTGAAGTTGTTTGCCAGCTTTTGTTGGCTGGTTGGTTGGTTTTGAGTCAGGGTATTGCTTTGGCATTCAGTCTTGAACTCACTTATGTAGCCCAGGCTGGCCTTGGGTTCAAGGAAATCTTCTGCCTCAGCCTCCTGAGTTCTGGGATTACAGGCAGGTGCTACTACACTCAGCTCTGCCAGCTTTTTTTTTTTTTTTTTTTTTTTTGACAAAACCTGATTACTCTCTGGTGGCTTTATTTATTTTTTTCTTGAACAACAAGATGTTCCAGGCTCAACTTGTACATTTCGGCTTCAGGCTTGGAATCAGTGGTTTTCTTTAAAGAAAAAGAGAAATGGTTCTGGAGAGAACCCCCTAGATACCAGGGGTTACATTATTATTGCAAACTGTATTACATCCAAGAATAAATAGAGCTAGAAAATAAGCAAGGAGTTCATAATGGTATTTCCAGTTCAGTTTTCAGATTATAGAATTTTTTGAAGTTTTGATTTATATTTCTTTTCTCTTATACTGAAAAATTGGTTCTAAACAACATTATTTTTTTTTTCTAAACAACATTATTATAATTATTTGCTTTTGGAAATCAAACTCAGGACTTTGTGCTTGCCAGGCAGGTGCTGTGGCACTGATCTATAACCCCAGACCTATAATTTATAGACATTACTAATAAAATATTACCTAGTAGTAGTTTTGGAAATATTTTTAAATAGTATCCCATCATTACTTAGTAATAATGACTATTGAATTCAAGATCCTCATGCATTCTTTAAAAAATTTTCCTTAGATTTATCCCATTCCTTAAATTTTAAAATCACATAAAACAATTTTTGTGGGACTCTGCTACCCACTTACTATACTAGTAAATTCATTTGTCTCTTAGTTTTCAATTTTTAGAAATAGTTAAAAAAACTTAAATATAACTTTTCAATAATGGTAAATATTTACATGATTCCCACGTATAAAACCAGGTATGAAGAAGCCAGCTCTCTTTTCTCTCCTCTACGCTGTTCCTTCTCTTAAGTACGCATATGTCTTAGTTTATAATCTTTCTTCGTTTTTTTCAGAAAATGTAAGTAAATATTAAAATATTTATCTTTCTATTTCACTCCATTTTACTTTCATCTAGATTTTTTCCACTTACTATTTCCTAACCGTGACCATGTAAGTCCTCATTTTATTTATTTATTTTTCTTTTTTTTTTGTGGGGGGTACCTGAAACCAAACTCAGGACCTTGCACTTTCCAGACAGGCTGTATGCCCCTGAGCTATAGCCTCAACCCCTAAGGCTTAATACTGCTGCCTAATTTATATGGTGCAGATATATCACAGAATATCTTGTTCTCCAGTCTTAGCCATAATTAATCATCTCAAGAAAATTCTTAATAAGGGGAACAAAGCAAAAACATGAAAGAAAAAAAAAAAGATTCTGAATAGATTCTGTATAGAAGGAAAAAAGGGCCCTGGGAGATAGCTCAGTAGAATAAGAGCTTGCCTGGCAAGCGCAGGGTCCTGAGTTCAATCCCCGGTACTGTGGGGGGGGGACCTTTAAAAGAAAAAAGAAAAAAAGGAATTACTACTAGTACCTGCAGGGAGATAAAAATAAAAAAGGTATGTAGTAATGACAGAGAAGCCTAGCATGGTGGCACATGCCTGTAATCCCAGGCCTTGAGAGGCTGAGACAGGAGGATTGCCTTGAATCCAAGACCAGCCTGAACTTTGTAGCATGACCCTGTCTCAATGAAACAAAGTCATGCTAGAGAAAATGGAGTACTACAACAAAGGAATTCTTTCTAATAAAACAGAATTTTTGGGAAAGTCCAAGATTCCTATCACAAATGAAAAATACCTCACTAAGAATAACTGAAAGTTAAATGTGAGAAAAATCTTTTAGAAACTGGAGCAAAAAGACAAAAAAATATGGAAAGAAGAAAATAAATGATTTGAAAATCAAGGGACTATATCACACAGAGTGACATTACAGTCCAGTATTTGAATAATAGGGTTAAATAAATAGAAAAAATAGAGAAGAAATAATCTATAAAGTATTTCAGGATCACTTCCCAGACTCAAGAATTTGAGTGTTAAAACTAAAAGAACCCTGTCTGTGTCCAGTGAGATGAATGGGGACACGTCAATGCACATTATTTTGTAATTTTGAAATATGGAGGAAAAAGAGAACATTTCCATTTTCTAAAGATAAGAGGTACAATGAAAAATTCATTAGTGGAATAGTTTGTGAGTCCTCAGTGACAGGACTAGAAGGTAATTGGAATAATACCATCAACATCTGAAGGAACACTATTTCAACCCAGAATTTTATACCCAGACAAACTGGCATATCAAGGGTGAAGGTTTTCAGATAAGAACAAACTCAAAAAATTTATCTGGTGTTGCATAAAAATTGAGGGGGGCTTACAACAGCAAACATTATTTATAAACTCAGGTATTGAACTAATTAAGTAAAAGGTATAAAATCATTTCTCTGGAGAGATATTCAGATGAGAGGGAAATAGCCACTCTTAACTGTGCCAATGTGTAACTGATATAAAAATATAAAAGCAAAAGTAAAGCTTTAAAAAGATACACTGATGTGACTTTTGAAGATAAAGTGTGATAGAATTCTAAGATGCTTATGAAAACTAATAAGAAGTAGTGAAAGTGTAGAGACCTTTTTCAATCTCCTGCTCCTTCACCAATCCCGTGGTTTTCTCTTCTTGACATAAGAAAGAACTTCAGAAGTGGAGACTTTGGAATTGGGGTGAAAATGTATCCTAGAAGTAGCATGGATCTTTCATAAATATAGAATTGGACAACAGGAAAAGCATTGAAGGAAGGATATACAGTCTTCTTAATAGTGAAAGATCAAGGATTTTTGGGAGATACTAAGTAGCCTCAATTATTTAGAGATTAGCAAGTGGTCATCAAATTTGTTCATTATTATAGTCACTGAAGGAGCTTTTAAAAATTCTGATGCCTGTGATATACTAATTATGGCAGACTAAGAGTCAGACATCAGTATTTTGAAAATAGCCCTTGGGCCAGCCACGCAGCTCAGTGGACTAAAAGGCAAAGTGCAGCGGCCAGGAATTGATCCCCCTCTTGTCATGCAAGCCCCGGCCCCAGGGTGCGCTGAGACAGTGATTGAGACTGTGATTGGGAGGCTGCAAACAGGAGAATCACTATGAGTCAGATCTAGTAGTGAGACCCTGTAGACCTGTACCAAATACATAAAGAAAAAATAAAATAAAATAATAAAATAACTCAAGTCTGAGAACCACTGGAGTATCCACTACACTAATGAGGACAACTAGTGGGGTAGGGTAAAATTATGGAGTAGTCTTAAATGCCTAGCTAGTTAATCTGGTCTCTAGCAGGCAAAGAGAAGTCACTGAAGGCTTTTGAACCAGAAGTGACAGCACATTTGGAAGTCAGACAGTGGAAGAAGATTCTAGAAGCAAGGAGACCAGTGGCTATACCGATAGATTAGTCCCTGACCTCATGGTGATCAGTGCACCCAGGACAAGGGCCTGTGTGTAGTAGGTGTACTTCTGGATCCTCAAGGGTTTTGGACCTCAGGGTGGCCTCCCTGCCACCCCATATGTCTGCAATGGCAGTCTTCCAGAAGGATATGAGAGCCACCAGAAGACAGTATAAGTGGAAGCTTGTCCCTGGGTGAAAGTGGTGGGCTTTCTTCGCTTGGTTGGATCCCCCTGTGGGGATTAAAGATCTCTGTTTCAGAGAAGCTGTGCACATTGAATGGAGTGGTGGCGGTCGGAAGGGTGTGCAGTCTCTTGTTGGGGCTGTAGGGGCCGGGGGTTGGCCTATCAGGTTCGGTCTTCACTGTCCTTAAAGGACGTGGAGGTGCAAGGTGAACCCCTGTTTTAGTTTCAGTTCGTGCAGGGGATAGGAGGTTTTCTTGACTCTGAACCAGCCTCGAACCTTCTTCGAAACAATTGAGGCCCCCTGCCGTCTTCCACCCCGACCCAAAGCGAAGAGAAGCCCTCACCGTGAATACCGAGGTTCGCTCGAGGGCGGCAGCTAACCGCGAAGTGGGAGCAAAGGGGCCGCCCTTTGTTGGAGGGAGACCTGCAGGAAACAGGAGCGCCACGCCGAGCCCTTAGCTGTCTCGGTCCTGATTTCCCGACCACAGCGGACAAGGAATCCGCGGCCGCCACGACCCTTGGGCCAGGCGTGCGCGCGCCTCGTGGGAACCTTCTCGAAGCACTCGCTCTCCGGAGGCAGCCTAGAGCCACCTCATTGGAGCCCTCGCGTGCATGATGGGAGACACCGAAACGCCCCTTCCCAACAGGATGACAAACACCCCCTCCCACCCGGCGGCGACGTGCACGTGACAGTTTTCAGCTCTCGCAACTACGCTTAAACTTGGACTCGGTCTGCGGCTGCACTCGCCCGGGTGCCGATTTCGGCGCCCCTGTCCCGCTCACCACGGCCGGGGAGTCGAGCCACGGGGAGCAGGGGCTCCCGCGCGCGGCGGCGGCCGCCCCGCGCCGCCCCTGCCCCGCACTCCGGCGCCCGGAGCTCTTGGGCTTCCGCGCCACCCGCCGCGCTCGGCCCCCGGGCAGCGGCTCCCGGAGCGGCGGCGGTCCCGGCGCGGGCTCTCCGGCCCCGGCCATGTGGGACGGGCGGTTAGCTAGGTGCGTAGCGGCGCGAGGAACGCGGGGGCGCGTCTGGCCTTGTGGGCCTGCGCCCTTGCTCGGCGGGACGCGGCCGCGAGGGGGCTGGCGACCCCGGCCGGAGAGGGTGGCCGGCCGGCGGGACCCACGGGTCCGTCTCCAAACGCAGACCCGGGCCTTTCACGCGGGGTCGCGCTTGGCGGGGGGCGGCGCCGGCCTCTTGTCTCCAGGGGACCGGGATGCGCGCTGCGACAGGGCTGCGGCGCCGCGCGGCCTGCCTGGCTGCCTTCCGGACCGCGACCCTGCACCCTCGGCCCCGGCGCCCACCGCCCGGGATCCCCGGCCGCCCGCACGTTCCGGCGGGCGGACGCTCCCCCGGAGTGCGGCCGACGGGCGCCAGGGCGCGAGGCCAGCGGGGTAGGACCGAGCCCGGCTGCGCGGCAGGATTGCGGGGAGGGGGCTTGGGGGGAGCGCCGGCCTCTTCCCACAAGAAAGGCCGTCTTCCGGCCCGCGGGGCAGCGCGGCCCATTTGCTCCCACAGCCGACTTGGTGGGCGGAGAGCGCCACGGGCCGCGGCTGACTGAATTCTCAGGAGCCCGGGGTTCTGCGTGGAGCGTTTTCGTTCGCGGGCTCCGAGCCTGTTGCCTGCGAGGCGCGCGGCGCGCTCGCCTCCCCACCCCCGAGTCCCGCGCACACCCTGCAACCCAAGCAGGACCGGGCTGCGCTCTGGCCGCCCCTGCGCCCAGACGTGGGCGTCTCTGGACGGTTGCAAGCTTTTGTGCTTCCTAGGGAATTGTGGGAGGTGTACAATTTGAAAAATGAAGGAAACAATTAAAAGAGGGGTTTTGAGGTCTCCAGTTCCCTAACTCGCCCCCGCCCAGTTGCTGTTGGCCAACCCCAGGACTTGGGATCCTAGCGTCGCATTTGGGTCCTGCCACTTAGTGCAAAGCTACTCCCTTGGGAGGCTTCGCTGAGGCCAAGCTGTTCCTGAAAGGCGAGGTCTTTTGCCAGTGTTCTCTAGTGTTTTCTAGGAAGTACGTCTTCTAAGGGGCGGGGGCTCAGAAGTGTGTTTAAGCTGCTTTCCGGTCAGGTCACTTTTGTAGGATTGCAGGATGTTTTGAGTCCAAGTACTCTGCTGATTCTTGCATCCGTTGTAGCGCCTAGAGATGGGTATATACGGTATGCGCTGCAAAGTAGGATCTCCTTGCTGTAGGTTTATGGATTATTAAGTCTATTTTTGGACCAAGACCCCATAGAGTAGGTACCTGTATCTACATAGAGTATAAAACTGCACCAATAGTTTCAGGGTAGCTATTTTCTGTACAAAGTGAGACACGATGATGCTTTCTATATGATTTTTTATAGCTTTTTCTTTGTACTGAGGATTTAACCTAAGGCCTTTCCACTGAGCTACAACCTCAGCTCTTTTTATTTTTTGAGATGGTCTCACTAAAGTGGGGGGGCATAGTTCCTTTCCCCCCCCCTCCATTTTTTTTTTTTTTTAAGGAAAAGGTAAAGAGAGTGATCCAAGGCTGCCACAGATTGTGGGTTCATAGCGTCTAAAGGGGATTCTTTAGGTGTTTGTTTAGAATTTTACAGCTGCAGTGTCAAAAGATGGACCATAACCACTTTATAGATGAAGAAGTTGAGGTCCAGGAAAGGCCATCACTTGTTAGTTCTTGACAGCTAGTTAGTGGTGGATCTGGGATTAACTCCTACTATCTTGACTTCCCAACCCATGGCAAACAGAGATTTTGCCCTTGTAGAATTCTTAATCTTTGCTGGTTAGTTCTTTTTTTTTTTTAAACCTGTGGTTGCTACCATAGATCTGTTTCTATGGTATATACCCTATTATTATTTTATCCTTGCTTCTTGGGGATGAAGATTGTTTTAGTAGTTGAAGTAGAGCTTGTGGGCCAGGTGTTTGATGGCAGGTAAAATGATCCTCAGGACATTCATAAGAACTGAAGTGGAGGTTAGAATGAGGGCTTGTTGGGCAAGGGGAGATAGCACAATGGCATGAGTGCTTGCCTGGTAGGCAGAAGGTCCTTAGTTTGATCCCTAGTACCTCCTTCCCCTACTAAAAGAGGGATTCTTGCCAATATTTTTATTAACTTTGAAGAATAAACTCTCCAGATGGGGAAGTAGAGCTGGCAAGTCGGTGCTCTGCCCTCAAAATGACTGAAGGCTCACTGCTTATGTGACAAATTTCCTTGGACTTCAGCCCGAGGTTTTCAAGGCCACGCACATTCTTCTTTTAAGAAATCTTTACAAGAAGGAAGAGAAATTTGGTGGAAATTGTCAATCTCCTTAGAGGTGTCACTAATTTACAGCAGAGATTGATGGTGGAGTCAGTGTTGGGGAGAACAATTAAATTTAAACTTTAAAAAAGCTGTTGAATCAGGTAGACAAGCATTTGTGGAACAATAGCAACACCAAAAAACTCAATTGAGGCCAAGAGTAAGTAGTGTTCCTTCTTTGGTTAGTGAGGTTGTTCATTCTCTCTGACTAAACATTTTTCTTGGTCTCAAAAATGTCTGATGAGGCATTTTTCTTGCCTAAGAATTACCTTATGTCCTTGCTTTTGTTGAAAATCTGGAAGGGTGAATTTGCTTTACCTATGATACCCTGGCCTTATTTTAGCTGAATCAATTCCCTCTTCTACCTGAATGTTGAGTCTCAGTGTAAATGCCCGTGCTGTGCTCATAGCCTGGGCTATAGACTCATGAACTCCCATGAGTCTGGTGAGCTGGTGGGAATCCCTGGGTATCTTTTGGAGCCAAGCAAAATCTGACTTTAACTCTACCTTTGGTGTTCTCATGACTTTTTTTTTTGTACCAGAGATTGAATTCAGGACCTTGAGCCTGCCAGGCAGGTTCTTATGCCACCCCAGTTCTTATGGCATGTTTTGATTGGGATGTTTTTATTTTTTGAGCACTGGATCTTCTTGTCAGTGGAGGCAGCACTTGGAAAGGGGGAAGAATTGCTAGTCCTGAAAAAAGTGATGATGTATTAGAAGAAACAGGGTCAACAACGCACAACACAGAAAATAAAGAGGATTCCAGTGCCATACCTGGAAAATTTGATTCACTGTGAAAAGCGTGCTGAGAGAGCATGTCATCCTACATGTCCAGTTGTGGCTTCCAGAGCTGTTTCCTTTGGTCAGCTCTAGACCAGCTCATTCTCTTCCTGGGGGAGCACAAAAATTACTGGTTTCCAGGGCTCATTGAAACCCAAGCACATTGGCCAGTTACTAGGTTTCCTTATAATCTGGCCCCTAGCCCTTTTCTTTAATGTTTTCCCTCTTATTCTCACTTCTTTTTATTTTAATTTAATTTTTAAATTATTATTATTATTATTGTTGTTGTTGTTTATGTATTTGGTACATTGTCTCACTACACAGCTCAGACTTGTAGTGATCTTCCTGTTTTCAGTCTCCTGGTGCTGGGATTACAGGCCTGTGCCACCATGCCTTGTTGTTTTTTTTTTTGATCTTTGTTTCTTTCAGGTTAGTGGTATTGCTCAAATATATCTGAAGGCACTGTATCGGGCCAAGGTGGGTATAAAAATAAAAGACATAGGCTGTGTTAATGGTGATAGAACAAAGTTAATGCTAGGTGAAGCTGTGAGGATGGGTTAAGGGAGAGGTAGGCAAGCACTGAGAGGAGTGGCCAGCTCGTGAATCCTTCCTTGGGACATGTGAAAGGTCAATTTTAAGCTATCTCATGATAGATGAGGAAAGCTTCAAGCAGATAGAATGAGAGGTGTCAGGAGAAGAGAGGGACCTCCTACATAAGAAGAGCAGCTTTGTAAGAATAATGGTGAGCAAAAGGGCTTATGCTCTACACATCACCATAGTAATAATAGTTTCTCCTGTGACAGAGTCTATGTAAAGTGTGACTCATGCATTATTTAAAACCCACAGAACACATAGAACAATCTCTTTTATAGGTCATAACCTGTACCAGAATGTGAGCTTCTTGAGGACAGTAACTTTTTTGTTTTTGGTTAGTCTTTTTCATACATTCCAAGCATCCAACAGAGTGCTTTAGGAACACAGCAGATACTCTTTGTCAGTGTTTACTGGCTGATGGTAATGGAGAGTCCTAATATGGCATATAAGGCAATATTGTTCCTATTTTCCAGTAAAGAAATTGAGGCCTCGCCATAAGTGAATTACTGCCTGATATCCGGTGTAGACAAGGTAAAAGACATAATTCCAGGTTGCTCTATCTTTTTTTTTTTTTGTTTTTGTTTTTCTGTGATTTGAGGACTCATATATCTTTGTATTGATTGTCTTTCTGGTGCTAGCCCTGTTACTTTGCCAAACAAAAACTTGCCTGTGGGAGAGAGCAACATGAATTTGGGATCATGTAAATACAAAATGGTGGGGACACAGTATTGGAGAATGCTAGAAAGATGAGGTCTGTGTGTAATTTGGTATGGAAATCTGAGCTATTCGGGATTTGTTCTAATTGAGTTTAGAAGGAGCCATGGAAAGTGCATGTATACATGTGTATGTACAGTTCTACTTTCTATTTATAGGGTAACTCTGGGGGTAGGGATATGGATGAGTACATCTTAGCCTGATTAAAGTCCAGAACTAGGGCTAGAACTCAGAACCTCCCAATACAGGTAAGGAAACCACTTTTGGGCTGTTACTGTCTTGGGCCAGGGCTGTGTTTTGAAGAGTAACTGGTTCCCTCTGGACCCTCTCCTTGGAATAGTGGATGGTGTTTTAGTTTCTATACTGAATTGATTTCCCCTTCATATGAGAAGTAAACAAATTGCTGTCGCCTTGGGGATGGGAGGCAGAATGGAGACCATTAATTGTCATTTAAAATACTGGCATCTCTTAACACATTTCTGAGAGAAGGTCCTTAGGCAATTTTGTGCCTGGGAATAAAGTAGAGTGTATTACTTCTACAAACTGAGACAAGTGAGATGTTGGTAAGTGATACAGTCATATGGAACCATCCTCACATATGCAGTCTTTCACTAACCGAAACATTATCCAGTAC